CAACACTACTAGATGAGATGGAAGTAGAAGTACTATAAGAAGGGTTAGCAGGAGCAACAATGATAGGTATAGATAGTGATTCATCAATTATATCACAAGTTAAATCTACATCACAAGTATCAACATGCTTCTTTTTATTTTGCTCATCAATCAAAGAGGAATGAGCCTTTTCAAGCTTTTTGTGAGCTTTGCCAAGCTTCTCATTGGCTTCTTCTAGCCTCTTATGAGATGCATTGAGCTCATCAAAGGCTTACTTAAGGGCTTTTAGTTCCTTATGCAAGCTTTTGCATTCTCTTCTCTTGATGTCAAAGTGTTCTCTAGCATCTTCTAGCATGTCAAATAGTTCATCCTTAGTAGGTTCATCATCATCACTATCACTATCATTTTCTTTTTCATTTTCATTATCATCATTATGTTCTTCATTACTTTCATCATCACAAGTTTGTATCTTAGTGGCCTTAGCCATGAAGCATGATGAAGAGTCGAAGAGAGAAGGCTTCTCATTGATAGCAATGCTTGCAAGAATCTTCTTCTTGGTGGTCTTGTTATCATCACTATCGTCATCATCATCACTTGAGGAAGCATCACTATCCCAAGTGACCACATATGAACCACCCTTCTTCTTCTTGAATGCCATCTTGTCATTCTTCTCTTTCTTTTTCTTCTTCCTTCTTCTTGTTCTTCTTGTTGTCATCATCATTGTCGCTATTATATGGACATTGAGCAATAAGATGATCTTTGCTTTCACATTTGAAACACCTTCTTGACTCTTCTTTGTTCTTGGATGAAGACTTCTTTCTTTTAGCATGATAGCCCTTCTTCACCATGAACTTGCCAAATCTCTTGATAAAGAGAGCCATCTTCTCATCATCATCATCATCATCCCATGAATCATCTTCTTCACTTGATGTTTCTTGCTTGGCTTTGCCCTTGGATGATGTGGCCTTGAATGCCACGCTCTTCTTCTTGTCATCCTTCTTCTCATCTTTCTTCTCCCTCTTTTCTTCCTTCTCATCATCATCTCTATATGTATCATCGGTTATTATATCTCCCAACACTTGGTTTGGTGTCATGGTGTCCAAACCACTCCTCACTAGAATAGTGACCAATGTACCAAATCTTGAAGGCAAACATCTCAAGAACTTGTGGGAGAAGTCCTTGTCCTTCACCTCTTCTCCAAGTACTTTGAGATCATTGACAAGCACTTGAAGCCTATGGAACATCTCCGACACACTCTCATCCTCCTTCATCTTGAAGCTTGCAAACTTCTCTTTGAGAATATATGCCTTTGCACCCTTCACGGCTTGAGTGCCCTCAAATGATTCTTCCAACTTCTTCCAAGCCTCATGAGCCATCTAAATATTCTTGATTTGCTCAAATGTTCTCTCATCAATTGCATCATGAATGGCACTTAGAGCAATGTCATTGTTTTGGAGAAGCACCTCTTCGGCCACGGTGGGATTCTCTAGATCTTCAATCTCAATTTTGGTTTCTACCACCTTCCACACTCTTCTATTGATTGACTTGATATGTGTGGTCATCTTTGATTTCCAATATGGATAATTTGTGCCATCAAATTGGGGTGGCTTCTAGGTGTTGTTGATTTGAGCCATTTTTACACCAAAGGTTGTTAAGCCTCAAATCACGGTGACCTTAGCTTTGATACCACTTGAAAGGTCCTAATGGCTAGAGGAGGGGTGAATAGCCTAATAAAAATTTCTACAACAACACTTAACAAAATGGTTAGACAATTATGAGGCGATGCAAGAGTTGCACTAGCCTACTCAAAATACAAGCTGCCTACCACAATTCTAGTTTAGATAGTATCTTTTCACACAAAAGCTATGACACTACCCTATGTTAGTGTGCTCTCAAAAGCTAACTAAAGAGCCACACCAACCAACCAAGCAAGCTCTCACAACTAACTACACAAAAGAGCTTGACAACTAGTTTATGGTAATATAAAGAGAGTGATCAAGAAAGTTATACCGTTGTGTAGATGAAGGAACCAATCAATCATAAGAGTGAATAACAATGAAGACCAAACACCTCGAAATCAAAGGATGAACACAATGATTTTTTACCGAGGTTCACTTGCTTGCCGGCAAGCTACTCCTCGTTGTGGCGATTCACTCACTTGGAGGTTCACGCGCTAATTGGCATCACACACCAAACCTAAAATAGGGTGTCGCACAACCAACACAAGATGAGGATCACACAAGCCATGAGCAATCTACTAGAGTACCTTTTGGCGCTCCGCCGAAGAAAGGTCAAGAACCCCTCACAATCACCACGATCGGAGCCGGAGACAATCACCACCCTCCGCTCGACGATCCTCGCTGCTCCAAGCCATCTAGGTGGCGGTAACCACCAAGAGTAACAAGCGAATCCCATAGCAAAACATGAACACCAAGTGCCTCTAGATGCAAACACTCAAGCAATGCACTTGGATTCTCTCCCAATCTCACAAAGATGATGAATCAATGATGGAGATGAGTGGGAGGGCTTTGGCTAAGCTCACAAGGTTGCTATATCAATGCAAATGCTAAGAGAGTGAGCTTGAGCTGGCCATGAGGCCTAAATAGAAGCCCCCACGAAATAGAGCCATTGTACCCCTTCACTGGGTACAGCGCGGGGTGACTGGACGCTCTGGTCGGATCGACCAAACGCTGGCCCTCAGCGTCCGGTCACGTGATTCACGCCACGTGTTCCCTGCTTCAAATACTGTTCGTCAGATTTCAATAGTCGTCTGCTGACCGGACACAGCGCACAAACTGACCGGACTCTGAGCCTCCAGCGTCCGGTCGTTTTCAGTAAGGTTCCAAAAACGATATTTCACGACCAGACGCGTCCGGTCATGCTTGACCGGACACAGCCAGCGTCCGATCAGTTACCCTGACCACTGTGCCGCCACGTCAGCTGGGACCGGACACACCCTTTCAGCGTCCGGTCAGTCCGAGACCCAGCGTCCGGTCGTTTGACTGAAGCTGGCGTCTATGCTGTCACGTTTGATCGGACGCGCCGGTCCTTCTGAGACCAGCATCCGGTCACCTTCTGACCAGCGTGACTAACTCCTTTTCACTTCTATCTTCTTCACCCTTGCTCAAATGTACCAACCACCAAGTGTATCACCTTGTGCACATGTGTTAGCATATTTTCACAAATATTTTCAAGGGTGTTAGCATTCCACTAGATCCTAAATGCATATGCAATGAGTTAGAGCATCTAGTGGCACTTTGATAACTGTATTCCAATACGAGTTTCACCCCTCTTAATAGTACGACTATCAAACCTAAATATGATCACACTCTCTAAGTGTCTTGATCACCAAAACAAAATAGTTCCTACAAAATATATCTTTGCCTTGAGCCTTTTGTTTTTCTCTTTCTTCTTTCCAAGTCGAAACACTTGATCATCACCATGCCATCATCATCATCATGCTATGATCTTCATTTACTTCACCACTTGGAGTATGCTACCTATCTCATGATCACTTGATAAACTAGGTTAGCACTTAGGGTTTCATCAATTCACCAAAACCAAACTAGAGCTTTCACCGTCTCAACCACGTAGTGTACATTTTCTATTAAAAAAATAAAACTTTCCAATCAATAATATAATAATGAAGAACACATAATAAACATCTAAGTTTGGAGATCTCCTTGTTCTAAAACACACCTTACAGTGATGGTTTGAGATCGCATTAGATATATGGCTGCTGAAATACTCCATCGGGTCCAAATTGCACGTAACTTTAGATTTGTCAAGCCAAAACTTCTATGACTTTGTCTAGAAGTATATTAACATCCCTACATTACAAAATAAATACGTTACAACAAATTTGATGTTGTAAATGTTAGTGTATTTTGTACATATAAACTTAGTTAAAGTTAGATAAGTTTGACTTAGAATAAAATTAAAATGTTCTGTCATCTGAGACAAAGTGAGTATCAATTAACCCTTTGTGTGCACAACATGGTCAATTGTAATATCCATATTCATTTCATTTACTATCATGTTTTATGCCTTCTTCAAGAAAAGAAATGTGAAACTATACATAAATGAGCATTTTTTGTTCTTTTCGTACCGCATGTTGCTCAGCGAGGCTTGGGTATGTTTGGATCTTCAAGCAAAGCTTGCCTTGCCTTGCCCAGCGAGGCTGTACAAGAGAGTTGTGCATTTGGTTGTTGAGCTAGCTGCATTAGGATAGGACTTGTGCTGGCAAGAAAAATCCCTGCTATCCTTGGCTAACCAATTTGACTCGTCGGGCTTGGCAAGGTTAGGCTTGCTCTTGCTGGCAAGGCAAGGCAAAGCTAGCCTCTGAACCAAATGCAGTGGAGGAGGGTAGCCTGGAGGCTAGAGACAGCGAAAGCCCGCCACTACAAACTCCACCTAGGCCAACAACTACCCACAGCCTATAAACCCCACCCTAGCCACTCGATACAGAGAAATTTCAATATTTAACCTGAATTCGCAAGCCTTTCAGTATTTGACATCCAATTCACAAGTCTTTCAATATTTAACCCTACGCATGAGAATTGTTTCAATTCGAGGGAGTATGAAAGATTTGTCTCATTTCTCATTTCCAGCTGCCTCTTTACACTGTTTAGGCCACAGGAAATGACGATACTACCCTCCTCTTTTCTGGTGGTCTAGACGCTCGCCCAGCACCTCGCTTCTCTCGGTTCGTGCACTTTTCTCCCTAACATCTTCCCCCCGGCTCACCCAACAGTTTCCATAGTTCCGGAACTTAAATTTTACACAGATCTAACATATTTAGTCCAAATCAACGTAAACAACGCATAAATTATAATCAAATTTTAGCGTACACAATAGAACCAGCTATACAATTTAGTAAATAGGTTCAAGTTGACAATACAACCATATAGGCAATTTAATGAGTACATGTTCACATAGAGACAATAGAATCATCCAACCAATTTAAGATGGCTGGGAATCTAGAACAATACAAAAGTCTCCAAACGTTGTTCTAGGATTATTCAAACATCGATCTTCTTTCCCTTCTTTGGAGTGAGTTTTTTCTTTAGACCTAGTCTCTTCCTTGGAGTGGCCATAGTATTACTCGCCCCTTCTTCAGTTTGACTAAATACCATAGGAAAATAGACCGATTCAGTATATGAAGTAAGATAAGCACAAACATGTTAACAAGGTGAATCATTTTACCTTCTAGTCACTGCTCTAGGGCTTATAGTGATATGATTAGTGCCTCCAAATTCCACCATTGTTAATTGTATTTGGCTAAAAATGAGACAAATGTTTAGCCTAAAAAATAGATAGTGTTTCAAGTTCCAAGTCAATGTTCAGTTTATAGAAATTCACCTTCTTGTAACAGGCCCGGGACTGGTGCTAATTTCTGTTGTGCCTTCTAGTTCTTGCACAGGTCCAGGACTATTATTCACTGAATTTTCTTGCACATGAACCTTCTGCCTTTTGGATGGACTAGGAGCCGCATCACCTTTGGTAGAACCAGCAGGCCTACCTGCCTTTCCTTTCTTGGACCGACTTTTCTATAAATGTAAAATTGAGATAAGTTCAAAATATGAAGAAAATATGAGTTAGGTCAAAAAAGGCAGACACATTTACCTCTTCTTTGTTCTATTGAGAGCACACTTTGGGGATGTTGTCCTATGGCCATGACCTAAGCAATTTTTGCACTGCACTTGCCACATGCCTTTGCCCCTAGGTTTGCTTCCCTTGTTCTCTGTGCAGCTAGGTATTCTAAGTTTCCTTTGTCTTCTAACCTCTCTCTTATCGAGTGGTGGTAGCACTTTAAATCTAGGATCCACACTTGCCCATTGAGACTTATCAGGTAGTGGTTTGATCACACCATCATAGGCTAGTCTAAAATGGTACACTGAGTAGTATGGATCAAGATAATCTTCCATCTTAGGATTTCTATGTGTGGTGATTAGAAGCAAAGCATGTGCACATGGTTTCCCTGAGACTTGCCACTCCCTACAGGTACATGTGTGATTCTAAATATTAACCACATGTCTTATGATCTTTTGGGAATCTGTGACCTCTATCACCGCTGCATAAACCAAGTCCAACTATCAGTAGTCTCACCATCAAAAAACCCAAATGCAACTAGAAACATCCAGTTGTGCCCATCTAGTGTTGTAGCTGAAGGTAAGTGGCCACTCCATCTACCATTAAGAGCTGTGGAGCCAATACTAAAAAATGGCCGACAACCATTTAGGAAACCATCAATACTTGGTTTCAAACAACAAAAGAATATGTGGAAAAATACACCTTCCTCCTTATTCACGACGTCTATCTCTACAACACTTCTTGGCATCCTGAGCTCAATCTCTGCCTTGAAGTTAAACAAATATCCAAAACTCTCTTCCCATGTCCCATGAATTTGTTCTCCTGCCACAACAAAACCCTTATGCACAGTACCATACCCAATTTTGACTTAATACTTGTCATCTAGCTCTTCTTGTATTTTATTTGCACCCATGTTTGGATCCTTCATTAGTAAGGGGACTGCCTTCTCTGCTACCCAATGGTATGATACCATCTTGGTCCTCACTCTTCCAGTAGATGGACAAAAATGCTTTTCTTTATTCAATGTAACCTATTAAATGGAAACAAACATGTTAGTAACGCAACATACATGCATGAGGACTAATACTGCATAATACATTAAGTTAGCATACTACATATTTGAAAAGTGTTAGTACCCTGACTTGGACTTGATCAAGCATCAACCTTGCTACAATAGACCACGGACAACCCTCAGCTTTGTAGTGTCCTCTGAACAAATCTTTGTAAGATTTCTCTGTTGCAAGTTCAAATTATCCCTTTATAGCATGCTGCCGCACTGCAGCTCTAAATTCATTCATACTAGCATATATGGTTCCAGCTTTCATTGGAGGGTCTTCTCTGTCATATTACACAGAATCCTCACCAGGTATACGATCATCAACCAATAACTCTGCATCTTGTAGGTCCACATCATCAAGATTAATTTTACCCGCCATCCTAGCTTGCTCAGCCCTCTCATCCTTTGCCCTGAGGCCAACAAACTCATACATTGCATCTTCATCCATCACAGGAAGTGCGGCACTAATTTGATCTTGTCCAAGAGGAATAATCTCTAGACTGTCCCAGTCGATTGCATGAGAAACAAATGCCTCCTTGCTTGAATCTATTGGTCATGTGACATTATCATGCCCCACATTGCTTGTTGCTGCCTCTATTGCAGAGCTACAAAACACTTCTGTGGGTTTGTTCTCAACATCAACAAACAAGAAAAGCTTTTTGTCACCCATCCTTTCAGAAAATGCAAGGGACAGTTCTGTATAATTTAGCAATTTTTTTCTCCACCACCACTCATGTCAAACTCATGTATTACATGCTGTTGTCCGCTTCCCCAATTGAGCCTAGCTTTCAAGTCATTTTCTAGCATCTCCAAATTATAAGATCGACAATCCACAACTCATTCATCATACTTTCGTGGCACATCAACAGAGCGGCCATCATTGAACTTACCAGTGAACTTAGAAAACTGAACGCACAACCTAAATGTGGCACTGGATCAAATCTACCGTGTGTATCAACAAAAAAAATGAGACACAAAATCAATTTTGTGCCCCTCCCCAAAACTAACAAGTACTACAAAACTCATAAGAGAGATTTAGGATTGGGGGCTTACTCAGGAGGAGCCATCAAGACAGGGGGGAGGACAGCTTGCTGGCGCGACGCCAGCACAGAGACCGGCGGTGCCCGGCCTACGGCGACGGACAAGCACGCCGCCCCAAACCCTAGGCCAACGGGCCAGGGAAGGGCGACTGGCGGAAGGGGCCTGGGTAGGCGGAGGGGAACCGGGCTGGCGAAAGCGGGCGGCCGCCGACGACGGGCGGCCACCGGCAACAGGCAGGGTTGGGCGGCGGCGGCCGCGAGCGGCCTCACTGCTCCGTGCGGTCGTGACGAGCCGACGAAGAAACGTGAACCAGAAAGGAACGCCCGATCCAGTATAGGATAAGGAGGCAAGGGTACTTTAGTCGGTTCTAGTGTCCCGATGAGTGAGAAGAGGTATTTCAAAATAGAAAAAAAGAAGAAATCACAGAAATCCCTTAGATTGAAACAATTCGTGCCTTTGCAGGATAAACAAAGATGCTTCGGTAAGTAAGCGATCGTGAACGATCGTGGATTATGTTTGAAAGCAAGATTTTTCTTCACACCAAACCAACCAAAAACCAAAACAATAAATAATCCACGATCCAATTTCACCAAACCGAACAGGCTGAAATATTGAAAGGCTCGCGAATTAGATGTCAAATACTTATAGGCTTGCAAACTCGGGTTAAATATTAAAATTTCTCCCTCGACGGGCCCATCCAGCGGCCCAGATCACGCCACTCATGCTCCCCCGCCTGCTCCTCGGCGGCCCCCTCGCCGCGAGCGCCGCGCCCCTCCCCCGCCGCCGCGCCCTTGCCGGCCGCCGGGCCATGTCCACCTCCGCTGCGCCCGCGCCCGGGCCGAGGCGGCCGCTGCGCGGGGTGGTCTTCGACATGGACGGCACCCTGACGGTGCCCGTCATCGACTTCCCGGCCATGTACCGCGAGGTGCTCGGCGGGGACGCGGCCTACGCCGCGGCGCGCGCCGCGGGCGGAGGCGCCGTCGACATCCTCCACTGCATCGAGGACTGGGCGCCCGACAAGCAGCGCCACGCGTACGAGGTCATAGCGCGCTTCGAGCGGGAGGGGCTCGACCGCCTCCAGATCATGCCCGGTCAGGCGGCCACCACCTGTCCACCCTGCTTGCCTTGCTGCTACTGCTTCTGGATTCGTAGTTTGTAGCTCGGTGACACTCGGTGTGGTGTGTGACTGCTTGGATTTGTCCTGGGTATATGCAGGGGCCTCGGAGCTATGCGGCTTCCTGGACGCAAAGGAGATCAGGTCAGTGCTTGCTACCTCCACAGTGCAGCTTAAATTGCTTCCCTCGCATTGACTCACTGTGTGTGGAACTGCTCCAGTTTTGACATTGGTTACGCATGGTATTGCCACCTGCTAGTTTCACTTCCAAACCTAGGTGCTTCAAACTCTGATCGTGATACAGATGATCATGAGTGGATGCCAAATGATATGTCTGAGTGCATGTCTGATTGGATATTGGATTGCAGAAACTTGACACTAAGAGCAATTGCTCTGCAAGGAGAACTTGTACTTACAGTGTACCAAATGATATGTCTGAGTGCATGTACAAACGATTAAATTTAAGTTTTCATTCACACATACTACACATTTGTGATGCCAATAGCGGGACATTCTTTGATTTTTATACAAGCAGAACGCTCTTGCCACTTCAAAAGATGCCAATAGCGGGTGTTCTAATACACCATCTATTGTGATTCGTTGCTAGTCCAACCATAGAGTGATCAGAAAGAATTCGACTAACATCGATGCTGTACTGCTGTGTGTTGAAAGGCTGATTTTCACTTCTCTAGTTTATTGCGTGTACCAGAGCTGGTACTGTTGCTTGACACAAGCAATTGAGTTCATGCCTATTGTCGAGCATGTGTGGGTGTCATTTCAAAAGTGAGTTGAGTTGGATAACTGCAATCATTGTTTTTTTTGTGTGTCTGTCAATCATTTGTTGTGTTAGAGACGTATATTCAGCTTTTGATTCCTGGACTCAACTTTTTGCAGAAGAGGCTTGATCACCCGTAATGTGAAGGACGCAGTTGATTTGTTTCACCAAAGATTTGGTGTAAGTTGTTGCGTTTCCCTCCTTCTGATTACTAATTCGTCATGCCCATCTGGTTATTTCTGGCTCTTGTACCTGTGCAGCCTGTTTTATCATAATGTAGTAATTTTTCCAGATTATGAGATCATGCCTGTATTATTTCGCTCTCTCACTGATGTGATTCATTGCTTGTCATTGTGTTGCAATAGTGTGAAGTGGGACAGATGTACAATTTTTTAAATTATTATGCCATTGCATTTAGTGTGTTTATTCTTCTCTACATTTGTGTTTGGGATTACTGCAGATGAAGTTCACTCCTGCACTGAGTAGAGAATTTCTTCCCTATAAGCCAGATCCAGCTCCACTACTTCACATATGCTCCACTTGGAACATTCCACCACACGAAGTGATCATGGTCGGTGACAGTCTCAAGGATGATGTGAGCGTTCTTTAACTGATTACAAGCTGTAGCGTATAAAGGGTTGCTGTATACTCCATTTGTTTTTAGTAGGTGTATTAGGATTTGAAAAAAGCGTTTTAGGGGTGTACTTTCACCACCAATTTCTTTTCCAATGTATCATCAATCACTACAAAATCAATGTCATATTAACAAATATTTGAATTATGAATCTGTTCATATAAATTTTACACATTCAGCATGCATATTGTTTGATACTGTTGGTCAAAATCTGTGAAGCTAGACTTTTCAAATCCTAATATGCCTACTAAGAACAAGCGGAGGGAGTTGCACCCTTGCACTTGCACATTCTCTTCCATGTTTTCAATTGGCATGATGAAACAACCAGAAATAAAATTCCATGGCTTATGTCTACATACGATTTCACCATAACCTTTTGTTTTTAAAAGTTAACCCTGACTCTGCTTGTAAGTTGTCTTTGCATAGTTGCATCATAGCTAAACCAACATAAATTGGTCTCATAATGCTTTGCTAACTGCCCATTAACTTTACTAGTTCCTGAAGCATTCTCTTTTTTTTTTAAACTATAAACTGAAGTTGGTCACATTACACTTTCACTTAATTACTTGCCATTTGAAAATTTGTCAGGTTGTTTGTGGAAAGAGGGCAGGAGCTTTTACTTGCTTGCTCGATGAAACGGGGCGATATGGTCCTCATGATTCTTTGCCTGAGGAAGTTAAACCTGACTTCAAGGTGTCCTCGCTTACAGAAGTATTCACTGTGCTGGATGAGCACTTCGATTTGGCACCAGTGCCTGCTGAGAGTAGAATATGACAGGGAAAATTTATTGGACTTGCCCTCTAATGTGAGGCTACCCAACCAATACCTTGAATAATGTGGATGATGTTGATGGTGTTTCAACTTTCAAGTATCATTCAAGTATCAAATGCCCTGCTACAGCCTGCAGCCAGAAAGACGATGGCTGTTCCAAAGGTGGATTAAATGTCTTTCAAATGGCAATGAAGTCATTCAATTTGTTGTAAATCTATTATAATATGTTGTCCCCGACTAAATCAGCTCGTGCGGTTTAGTGACTGAAATGTTCACAAGTATCTGGCAATTCAGAATATAACATTCAAAATTTCCATGGATATCATTCGTTCAATTTGGTTGTCTCAAAATGGGCATTCTCAGCATTAGTTGGTTAGGTTGGTCTTTTTTTTTTTTGAGCTTTAAACTTAGGTTAGTATTATTGGTGATACAAGGAGCATCAGTTGCTTCTGTTTGATTTCTTCTGCTGGGAGATGTTCCTGCCGCTACTAATTCATAACAGCAGCTTGGAGGAATGTTGTCTCCTGAATTTTAGCTCCTAAGAACTATGAACACTAATACTTGGACTTTGGAGAGAGATTTCTGACAGGCATCTTTGGGTTGAACCGCCAGACGGCCAAAGTATCTTTCCACAAGTAACTCAACATATGTGTGGCTTTGCTTGCATTACCAATCTCTTTTCATCGACTGTCTGAAAACCGGTTTGGAGGCAAAAGACCTCTGTAGCTCTTTCTGTGGATTAAATGATGGTAATTTGGCCGCAAGCTCAGAAGTACCTGCTCCCCCGTAGGGAAAAGAACCTAATTCTAGCATAGTGCCAATTCAAACCAAGTGGCCAGGTTTATATAACAAGAGTATCAATATACAATATATGAAATAAGTGTTATTAGATTCGTCATAGAATGTATTAATAATACACATAGCTTGTATCATAAATATTAATACTGTGTTCTATAAATTTGATAAAATTTTGGATAGTTTAGCTAGAGGCATCAGAATTGCATCCGTTTGGGGACGGATGCAGTGCCTTCTTCCATAATCCCCTTCTTTCGGTTTCACAGCAACCAGTACCAGATAATTGCCACCATAATCATTCATCTAATCTTGGCCCTTCTTATCCAGAAGCTCATGGGTCCATGTCTAGTACAAAGCAACATGTCGACCCTCCCAAGACAAGCAAAAGCTTTTGTCGGGTTCATAAACCGGAGTCCTCAATGGACCCGCTTCCCTACAAAACTCGGCCCAGTAGGCGGTGCAACGACAGCACGCGTCTGGGCCAGCCCAGATACACAATGACAGGCTAAGACCACGATCCAGTCCCCGACCGACACCTCCGGCAAGGAGATCTGGTCGGAGCCCCAACCGGAAGGCCTGGCCGTGGTGGTATCGCAGTCCGACTCCGACCCTCTTTCTCCGACCGAGGATACGCCGGACCTCTGCTCGTTGCTCTTTCCCGACCGACACGGTCGGGGCCGACTGGGAACGACCGACCGAGGACGCCCACTCGATGTGGGCCCGAGGAGCAGGCGGAGCAGATAAGGTAAGGCGCTCAAGTCAACCGCAATACCGAGGACCGTACCCTGCCATGCCCTGCGCACTTGCAGGACGGTGCTGTCGGGCCATGTCAGACGGACACTGTACAGCCTGCCAGACGTGTCAGAGCATAAACAATATTATGGGCGCCGTCGTTTGCCGTACCAAGCGAACAATGTATAGCCTGCCAGACGCGTCAGAGCATAAACAGTATTGTGGGCGCCGTCTTTTGCCATACCAGGCGAACACTGTGTAGCCTGCCAGATACAGCAGAGCATGAACAGTAAGGTGGGCGATGGCGGCATAAACAGTATGGTGGGCAACGGCGGCCATCCCGTACCCGATGGCATGGGCAACAAGACTAGGCAGGGCCCGTATATACTCTCTCTCTTTCTCTCTGACTTGTAAGGCCATCCCCTTCAACTATAAAAGGGGATGCGCTCTCTACTAAAAGACGATGACCCGAGGACTCAAGGACTTGATGACTCGACGGCTACACAGGCTACCAAACACGGTCTCAACAATCTCAGCAGCTCGCAAGCTTGGGCACACAGAGACGCACACAGAGCACATGCTCCGACACTTAGCATACGTTTGAGCCCCGGTCACTCTCTTCCACTCGGACTAGAGTCCGACCGGACCTTTTACAACCCCACTTCATTCCTCACTCGTTTGTAACCCCACAGCAAACTTTGAGCACCTGGGATCGGGAATAAAGTCACCAACCGACCTCAACTGGACATAGGGCCTATTGCCTGAACCAATATAAATCATGTGTCATTGAGTGCTAGGCCACATCCGATTACAACGGACGACAAAACTATAAATATTTACTTGTTGGCCACATTTCGCACCGACAGTTGGCACCATCCGTGGGAAGGACGCCGTGGGATTTTTTGGTCATCGGATGGCCCACCTTTCCACCATCTTCAGCATGGCGGGCTTAAGCGATACGATTCGCTTTGGCTCACTGGAGTTTCCCACGCTCCCACTTGTTGGGATGTGGGTTCCTCCCATCTTTGAGCCGCTCCAAACCTTCCTCTTCGGAAGTCTAGACTTCATCACCGACTAGCTCAGCGTACTCTCGCCTCCGTGAGGAGGCGCTTGTCCCGGCGTCCACTGAAGGAGGAGCGCCCTCCACCGGCCCCGGGTCACTCGACAACCTCAACATCGAGACACTCGCGCTCCGCCTCAAGCCCATGTTGGGCTCAAACCCCACGGTGAGTAACATAGATATTATTCTTTACTCACTGTTTAACACCTTCTGTCAGCTCTCCAAAGGGACCCTGTTGTCCCCACCGCGACCGTCATGCGACCGGTTCCCCTATGGCTTCGCGTCCCCCGTGGACGCGTGCACACGGGGGCTCTAGAGGATGCTGACGCCGCCCCCTCTCACGTCCGAGTTCATGGGGATGGTGGGATACACCCCTTCCTCCTTTCACGCCCTCGTTGATGATGAGGTCAAAAGCGATGGTTCTAGCATCGGCGACGTCATGGCACCTAGCCACCCTCTGTCCCGGGAGTGCGCTATGGCGTATGCCCCGGGACAACTACCAGAGGTGGGGAGTATTTGTAGACTCACACCCCTCCGGACCCTCGTGCGCAGGCCCTGGCGCGTGCGCAGGAGCACGGCGAGGAGTTATGACAAAGGTGGCAGAGCCAGCCACCGCCTGCGCCGGTGCGCCCAACGCAGCAAGCTATGCCACACGCGCATAACCCAGCAAGCGGCACTCGGGGTCATGCCCATCAGGTCCAGCGTAACATCCTGGACGGAGGGGACGATCCCCTCAGTTTGCTCGGGCTGGCCAGAACATCGCTGCTGCGGCGATGCTTCAGGCGGCCTTCCCGAGCCTGCCGACCCCTAGGAGTAGGCGATCCATCGGAACCTCCGAGCGCTGGTGGAGACCGCCTCCGTTCAGCAGGCGGAAAGCTCTGCGTCGTGACACCGGCACGCGACCTCTTGCCCAGCTAGGGGACTAGGGCCGCACCAGTCGAATCACTCACTACAACAGTTGCCGAGGGTGGAGCAGGAGGCCGCGGCTGCACCATAGCCCAACCCAGCACCGCTCCACACCGACCACCTGTGCGTGAATGGCTCGGACCAAACCGTAATGCTCGCAGCGTCATCAACAATTGATGCCACGCCGCACGATGATGATGTCCAACGAATGGCGGTGCGAGAGCAGGTGCGCGGGCCCTGGCTTGACAATCAAAGAGTGCGAGGACATGCACCCCAGGCATGGCGGCCGACCGAACGACCGGAGCCCCAGCCCAGATGGCCCGGGGCCACAGGCTCTTGGTCGCCGCATCTAGAAAGCGTCGTTCCCACAGCGCTTCCGAACGCCCACCAACATCTCCAGGTACACCAGGGAGACGAACCCCGGATATGGCTCGAAGACTTCCGGCTCGCCTGCCAAGCCGGAGGAGTGGATGATGACTACTTCATCATCTAGTACCTCCCCATCTTCGTGGGGGAGCATGTTCGAGCATGGCTTGAATTCTTTCCGCCCGACAGCATCCGCGACTGGGCGGATCTCAAGAGGGACTTTATCGAAAATTTCCATGGGACGTATGTCTGTCCTGGGAATTTCTAGGACCTCAAGAGCTGCCAGCAGGAGCCCAACGAGTCCCTACGAGATTACATCCATCAGGTTCTCAAAGCAGTGCAACTCCCTTCCTATTATCGTCGACGTGGACGTCGTCAGCACGTTCTCTTTGGGACAACCTTCAAGTCCCTGATCCACAAGCTCGGCTGTGTAAAGCCCTGTACCACCCGCGACCTGCTCGACATTGCCACGAACCACACCTCCGACGAGGAGGCGATCGGGCGTTCTTCAGCGACGGTCGGGACATGGCAAGGCCAAGCGTGAGGACCAAGGCGAGTGCCCCTCCACACAAAAGGGCAAGAAGAACAAGAAGGATCAGCGCCTCCTCTCTTGCATCCTATTGAACAAAAGGGCAAGAAGACCCTCCACACAAAAGGGCAAGAAGAACAAGAAGAACCCGGACCTTCATCCAAGTCACGTCTTGCATCCTATTGAACTACGAAACAATCACTTGCAAATTCATTAGTCCAATTTGGTTTTGTTGATCATCAAACACCAAAATCCAAAGTAAATGGGCCAAGGGTCCATTTTCCTTACAATCTCCCCCTTTTTGGTGATTGATGACAACACGACCAAAGCAAGCAAATAATAAAAATTTGGAAGTTAAAAACTATCTACTTGCTAGGATGCAATGCAAGGGGCAAGGTTATATGATGCTAAAAGATACTACTTGTAAGACTAAAAGATACTACATGAAAACTTATCTTGCCCTTGCAAAATGTCCCCATGTGGCATTATGGATTTAAGTCTTGCTTCCTACAAATTCTTCTCATTACATAGACTAATCCATAATCCACTATCCTCCTTTTCTTGGACCATTACCACTTGTAAATTATCTAGCTTGTGGCCCTACAAATTAATGCT